CCAGGACTGAAAAAAATAAAGATGCCATTTTTCTAGATAATAATACTTATTCTCCCATTCTAAAAGTGCATCAATCTCCAGAAGAACTTTGATAGTTCACTTTGTAAAAGATGCTCACATCATGATCTGGTGGAGAAAACAATCAAAACTGAATTTTCTCTTTGGCATACTTTGTCCATCACTAGAGTGTGTAATATATGGAAGATTTTAAAACAGTCTAAAAATATTCAGGGTTTTTTTGTTATTGTTTGTTTTTTGCAAACAGGTGTCTGGGTTTATAAACCTGTTGAATAGATCCACCACACAATTTCCTCAGATCAAAGACTGACCTGAAATAAAGGAATACGAGGTTCAGCTTTTTGTTTCCTGTATAACCCTGTTTTTTTTTGACCCTCAATTATTAGGCTCCCCTTTCTCACTGAGGTCACAGAGAATACTGCTGACTTGTCTGAATAAGGCAGCTCCCAAATAAAAACAGTCAGTGAGTTGATGGGATGAAGGCAAGAGGTTAAACCACTCATTTCTCTGTGCTGAGTTGAGTTCAATGGAATCACAAATTAAGATGATCAGAGGGCTTCTTTGTAGAAATAAAGTCACAATTTTAAAAGGTTCCCAGATTTAGGCCTCTGTGCTACCACTGAACAGAAACATCCAAATACAGCAGCATTTGCAGCTAATTTTAATCAGCATCAACTCTAAGAGCAATTCCTAAACAAAAGACAATCTTGGGCCCTCATCCTAACGCAAGGCTCCATGTGGAGCCAACTTCAACCCTAATAAATTACTACTAATCTGTGAAGCGTGAACATTCCTTCTCCTATATTTCCAGGTTATCGTTCAGGAGATTTATCTGTCCAGGCAATTAGAGACCGCTTAAGTGAAAGTCATACATAACATTAACTCCCAGATGTGTGCTGTCAAACCTACTGCACAATACTCAAAAATAGCGAGCATAGGTAAGGCACGAGTGAGAGGAAAGCCATTTACTCTGAAAACTTATCTCTCCTCTTCCTGTGTCCTCCTGCAGATGTTTTCATTACAGATATCCATTTTTGTGTTATTCTGATGCAATTGTTAGGGGAGGAAGGCAAAGCATCAGCAGCCTCAAAGCTTGATCCCCCAACTCAAGGGCTGCCATTCAGAGCCAGTTTCTCCTAAAACATCTCACACGACATCTCGTTTTTATAAATCCTTTACTTCCTTGTGAAAATTTCTATTTCAGTTTTCAGTGAAGATTGAAATGTTTCTGGAAGAAACAGTCATCAAAATGAACACAGCTGTAAATGACTGACATCAGCGTGAATGAAAAAATATATCATGTCAATGTTTCAACACATTACTTGCTGAACAACTTCTACTCTGTCCTTCAGCGTTAAATGGGCATGTCCGGATTGGACACGCCAACAGATGGTTCCAAGCACTGTCTGGCATGCATCCTGCTGCATTCTACACTGCTGAAAGATGAAATACAATTCCCCCAAAAGGATTCTGTATTTTCTAAAATAGTAACTTACATAACAGAAGAACTCTAAAATCTTTACATTGGAGCCCTAAATCTATAAGCCCCAAACTTGTCGTTTGTTGCATTGCTTTTTTAGTACCTTTAACAGCAGTCATCTCTTCTTAGAGATTAGTGCCTCCTACCCAGGAATGTGTGGCATCGGTATTCAGGATATTTCTTCTAAGATATGCATGTCCAGACCACATCGGAGTCCCCACACTTAATCAAACATCCTGGGTTTGTTTGGACCAGCATCCCTGGGCATGTGTATTTTGAAAAGCTTACCAGGTTATTATGAAGTGCATCCCTGGTTAAGAATGGATTTCCCAGATCAGTTTTTAAACTGATGGCCAAATAACTGACATACATGTGTGCATGCACAGACAATACAATTCTGCTTTGTTTTTTGGGGTATTGTCTTAAGGTGCTCCTTGAAAATCCTATTCTTCTCCCATGATTTCTACTTTTGAAATTGTCTTGGGGCATTCTACAGTTGACTAATTTGCCCAGATGAATTTTAGGCTAAGTCATTGTATGTTAGACACTCTTCATTTGTGGGGGGGCGGGATGCCAACTTAGATCAGCAAATCCTTCCAAAACAATGTCATCTTAACTTCCAGTCATTTGACAAATATTTATTCAGCAGAGTCTATATGTTGTGGTAAAGGTTGAGAAAAATGCGAGAAAAACAAGATGATGTTTTCTTGGGGCTCCTGAGAAAAACATATGATATAATTACCGTGAAACTGTATAGATGACCTAAGGAAAGAAAACATCAAGAGGAAACACGTGATTCAGTATTAAATTCCTAGCACTTACAATAAGGAATCTAAGAATTCAGAAGAAGCAGTGCTCACTCCTGGCCATGTCACATCCCTGAGGGCCTGGAATTCAAAGAATGGATGTGGGGTGAATGGGCAGGGCAGAGGAATGTAGGTGTTCCAGATGGGGAACACAGCACACACTGAGGCGGGGATGAACAAGGTATAGATAGTGAAAACACAGCCCTCAAGAAGGAAGGGGTTGTCTGAGTGGCTGTTATCCCATAGAAGAAGGTCAGCCTCTAGCTGTCAAGTGAAGGAGCCTAATATTGACCCTCTGTTTGTAGAAAAATCATTTAAAGTTTGAAAGCAGCAGACCATGGAGATTATAGTGTTTTAGGAAAATGTAATTTTTTTTAACAAACAAAATATCTATGAGCATGAGATAAATAATGAGACCTATGAGAGCCATTAGGACTGGGGCCACCACAGTAGACTTACAGAGAACTAATAAATCTCAGGGGCCGCTCAGTTTATTTCCAGCCTGGAACAGAATGGAGATATACAAACAATAGGAGCAAAAGAGACTCAGAAGTAGAAGCAAATCAGAGTTGCTTGTTGGAGATGCCTCAGAAGAAACATCTGCACTGGACCCATGGTTTTGGAAGAAGTTGGTGAGAAGAAAAAAAGCTCTTCCCAAAAGATGGAAGGTAGAATGAGGAAAATAAGAGGGTGAAGGCTGAATCTGGAGAAGTGGTGTATGAAAGACCGTAGAGAAAATACAGAATAAATGATGCAAACAAAAGCCATCAGAAAGGCAGGAGAACCTAGTGGCAACTGGGAGGGCAAGGAAGAAGAGTTTCAAAACCAAGTTCATCAACACAGCATTCTGCAACAGTGATGTCAAAGGCCACTGGTAATGTTGCAGTTCGGGTCCCAGCCACCCATGTGTGTGTGCTCTAACACACAACTGATCTGTATCCTTTAATCTTCAGGTACTGACTGTGCGTATCAATCATTTAGCATATATCTGGTTAATTTTTAATGCCTGTTATTGATCCTCACATATTCAAATATTATGTCTTACCTGACGCTATTATAATAAGTTTTCTGAGGGAAGGGATCATATTCAATACTTTTATGCACCCACCTCACGCCCCATCGTGCCTTTGCATTGCCATGCCTCTAGTAATCACTTAGAAATATTTGTAACTAATTGTAAGTGTGACCATGCTGGTGACTGTGGTACGCAGATTAAGACCAGGTGAGTTCAGGGAGAAGACATAGTCTTTGGTATAGTGTTGATCTTTGCCATTCAAAGTGCGGTCCATGGACCAGCAGCATGGCCTAGAAACTGGTTAAAAACACAGTCTCAGCAGCCATCCCAGAATGACAGAATCAGAATCTGCACCTTAACAAGACCCAGGTGACTGATTCCTACACATACTGGTATAGACCAAGCTTAGCAGAGAAAGGGCTAGCTAGCACTGAGTTAGCAAGGAAGTTAGTTGGAGCTGGAGCAGATGGCCATTGAGTTTCAGTACATGATCATATACTGAGACCCTACTTCACCCCTGCTTGGTCCTGCAGGTCAAGGATGGAGGCCAGGCCCTTTGCGTGTGTTGCAGGACCAGGCAGGAAAGCAATTCCAGCTTCTGAGAAGGAGCCCAGATGCATAAATTCTTCCTCCATAAACTGCCACTAACTTCAGTGATAGGAAGGGCTTTGCGGTTTGTATCTACTAGTTGTTTTTCCACATTTTATAAACAGGCTGACCTCCTGAAGACCCTATTTATGCTCCTGACATTTATCCAGCCCTAGGAGTTATATCTTTCTGCCTCTCACTCATTCTTTTATAAGAGTGGATTTCCCTCTAAGCTTTAGATTGTAATTGCTAAAATATATTTTGGGCATAATTGAGAGCTAAACCTGAAAATGTTATTTTAACTGCAACAGAGGGAGCTACATTGACAGCATTATTGTAAAATGACCAGGTGTCAGGAAACAGCTCCCACAGGAAAGAACAAAGGCGCAGTTGTGTCCCAGAGGAAGGAAACCAAACAGAGCAAAGAGGCAGAGTCTTGCCTTTGTTGGGGACGTGATCAATGTTCCGATATTCTTCTCTAACTTTCCTATTGATAAGTATATTGGGTGTCACTACTTCAAATATCACTCTACTAGAAAAGTTTTCTGTGGGTCTTTTAGGATTTTTAACAGCATCCTTGCTATATAATTTACATACCATAAAGTTCACATTTCAGAAATAGAAGAGCCTTTCATTCCATCTCCCACCTTCAAGTAATGATTTATTAAACTCATCCAGGAATATGATACAGCAATTTCTTAAATCTCCAGGAATATAAGCCATCATCATGATTCTAATAATATATCCTAGTTTCTCGGTATTTATCAGAGGGAAGAATGTCAGGACCAAGTCTGCTCTATTCAAATTCCAATGATAAACATAATGGCTTTTAATGCTATCTTTCAAAAGTAGCTGATTGAAAATACCAAGGGAGGCCCTATAATATGCCTACTTTGTAGGAACTCCATGAAGAAACCAACTTCATTTCCTGCATCCAAAGTGGAAATAAATTTGTACCAACTATTCCCCCAGTTTGCTGTGAATTATTTTTCCACCACACGGCATGCTTCTTGAAGGCTTTATTTTTTACCTCAAGGATGGTGTGAGTTACTACACAGATTTTCCCTTCAAAAAAAAAACCACAGCAACTTACATGCTCTCACAGAACCTCTTCAGTGTGCTTGGCTTCTCCTGGTTGCGTCTTTGTCTAAACCAGCGTTGAATGCTGCGAACATCCCAGTCCAGCTGTTTAGACAGACCCTCCAGTCTCTTCTCATCAGGATGCTATGAAACAAGGTACCAGGAAAATCATTTTCATCTTTACCATAAACAGATATGCCCTTGAGATTTTCTTCTCCTATATTTACTATCTGTACTGAGATTTCCACATTTACCATTGAGGATGTAGGCTTTCCATTAGCCACATGAAAGTAAATAACCAGTTAGGCAAGAAAAGTTATTTATTGTGAAACAACAGTGAAAAATATGAATCTTGTTCTAATGCTTGCACTTCTTATCAGCAACAGCGATCCAATGGAACAGCCAAATGACTGAGTCAGCTCCATTAGCCTTCAAGGAAGGAGTTTCAAAACAAAGTTTATCTACAAAGTTTTCTGCAACACGGAGGTAAAGGCCACCTTAACTGAATTTGCACAGACATCATTTCCATATTTTACTTTCTCAGGGAGAAAAAAAACACTATATCTAATTATCACATATCAGTATAACAAAAAGCTTGAAATAACCCCAAAATACATCAGCTTAGCCTAAGGTACCAATTCCACTACAAAATATATTTTCTCTTTCTTCTTTTTCTCTCTCCACTCTCCCTCTGTTCTTCATACTTTCCTCTTCTATTCCTTTTCCTGGTCATTGCTTGTGACCAGATCCCCATCAAACCTTTTACAAGGACTCTGCACTACTTGAAGACATAAACTTGGCAAAGTGGAAAGAGGCACAATGTATGCTTGCCATGTGATGATAATTGTCCCATGGCTCACAAATTTCTGTAACATTAGGAGACGACAGACACAGGTTTGATTTCTCGGTCTAGGGAGCTACCCACCTTAGCCGTGGTTTTCTCACCTATTTAAAATAAAGGTTATTACCCACCTAGATGGGATGGTGGTGAGGACTAAATGTTTAAAATGCATGTAAAATTCAGCAAATGTTAGTTCCCCCCTGTCTTCAATATCTTAAAGGACACTCTGCCAAAAAATTATGTGAAGGTGAACTGTCACAAAACACAACTAAACCAAGTCAGTTCTATTCTTTACCTATTCTACCTTTGCTTTTATATTAAGGAGATGTTAATGATGAGAGAAAATAGCCCAAAATGGGGAAGGCAGGCTGACCAGCTTTCAGCTTTCAAGTTTATAGAGGTAGAATGTTCACATGACACCTTTTAAAGCATCTCAATCAATTCAAGGTGTCAGACCCAGAGGAAACATAGCCAACGTCCTTCATGTTATGCCTAGGGTCATAAAATGTGCTGAGCTTGTGTCTGCAAAAGTTATTTGCCAACTTTCAGTAAGGCATGTACTTTGAGGTGTTTTTATTAGTCACAACACCATATACATTCTCCTTCCATGTCTCTCAATGGGAGAGAAAATTTACAGTGTACAGTATACCTTGGACATACCAGTTTCCTAGAGGAATTCATTTTTCATTTCAATTTATTTTCTAAGTATATTGACCAGATAAAAGATTCACATGGTTCACAAATTGAAAATTATCCAACATTGCCTCTCACTAATTTGTTCCTACTCTCTCAGTTCCTACTTTCTCCTTCTTACCAGGTAACCAGTTATTAAATCAGATTCTTTCTAGAGTTATTTCATGCTACTGTAAGCAGATCTGAATATGTGTTCTTATAACCCCCCATGTCACATAAATGGTTGCATACCACAAACATCATTCTTGAACTCTGGGTTTTTCACTTTACAGTGTGTCTTGGAATATTCCCATCATCAAACTGTAAAGAATGACCTCCTTTTGTAAAACTATAATAATATGCCATAATTTACTTATCCACTCCCCTATGAATGGACATTGAGTTAGCTTCCAGACTTCTGCTAGTATAAACAATGCTGCAATAAATAACCATGCCATGGGTCATTTTATACAGGCCATTTTATACATGGATATCAATTCCTGGAAGTTAACATTGCAGATCAAAGGGTCTGTGAAGTTTCAATATAGTTAGATATTAAAAGATCATCCTTATTAATAATTTCAGCAACTAACACTCTTACACAAGCAAGAGTGTTCATTTCCCAAAGTCTGATCAACAGAGTATATTATCACACTTCAATTTCATTCACCTAATATATAAAAGTAGTATCTCTGTATAATTTTAAATTTGATTCCTCTTATGAGAAACACATTTTATATGTTTTAAAAAGCATCCGTATTTCATTTTTATAAAGTCTTTTCAATCTACTGTCCATTTTCTTTTTGATCTATAGGTATTTTCTTATTGATGTGTAGGGTTTCTTCAATTATTCTTTAATTTCTTCAGTTAAACCTTTTATGTACCACCAGCTGCATACTTTGTACCAATGTGCCATCTGTGTTTTATAATTAACTTATGGTGTTTTTTTGTTTTTTTCTTGGAGAAGTTTTTTTAAAAAAAACATATTTGGTAACTTCCGGCCAAGATGATGGTATAGGTAGATATACTTTACCTCCTTGCACAAGCAAAAGAAGGACAACAACAAATTTAAAACAATAAATAACCAGAACAGCCAGAAAATCAAGCTGTATGGAAGTCCCACAACCAAGGAGTTAAAAAAGAAACATTAATCCAGACAGATAGGAGGGGCAGAGATGGGCAGCCAAGGCAGAGAGGACTCCTGGCAAGGTGGCAGGTGGAAGACTGAGGAGGGGGAGGTGGCCCCACATTTGCATGCAGAGAAACTGGGAGGAACAATTGGGGGGAGAAACAACTGTGCAACCCAGGGTTTAGTGCAGAGAAATAAAGCCTCAAAATCTCTGACTGTAAAAACCAGCAGAGATTACAGCTGCAGAAGAAACTCCCAGCCTCACAGGAGAGTTTATTGGAGAGACCCACAGGGTCCTAATGTACACAAACCCCACCTACCTGGGAATGAGTGCCAGAAGGGCCCAATTTACTTGTAGGTAGTAGAAAAAGTGACTGAAAGGCAAAGAGCTGAACAAGTGGCATTGTTCCCTCTCATACCCCTCCCCCACAGATAGCACCAAACGCAGTGATGTGGGTGGTCTGCCCTAGCTAATACCTAAGGCTCTGCCACTTACTACATAACAGGAGTGTCAAGATAAGGAAATATGACCCAAATGAAAGAACAGATCAAAGCTCCAAAAATAGAACTAAGCAATGAAGAGATAGCCAACCTATCAGAAACAGAGTTCAAAACACTGGTCATCAGGGTGCTCACAGAAATGGTTGAGTATGGTCACAAAATACAGAAAGAAGTGAAGGGGATGCAAAGTGAAATAAAGAAAAATGTACAGGGAATGAACAGAAACAGGAAGGAAACTCTGACTCAAGTCAATGATTTGGAACAAAATAAAGAAATAAACATTCAACCAGAACAGAATGAAGAAACAAGAATTCAAAAAAATGAGGAGAGGCTTAGGAACCTCCAGAACAACTTTAAATGTTCCAACATCCGAATCATAGGGGTGCTAGAAGGAGAAGAGGAAGAGCAAAAAAATTAAAAACTTACTTGAAAAAATAATGAAGGAGAACTTCCCCAATATGGCAAAGGAAATAGACTTCCAGGAAGTTCAGGAAGCTTTCATTTAGAATGGAAGGGCAGATAAAGTTCTTCCCAGACACGATCAAGTTAAAGGAGCTCATCATCACCAAGCTCAGAGAGTCCCAAAGAAGTTGGAACCAAGGAGGCACACACCAAGGTACATCATAATTACATTAGCCAAGATTAAAGATAAGGAGAGAGCCCTGGCCGGTGTGGCTCAGTGGATTGAGTGCCAGCCTGTGAACCAAAGGGTCATCTGTTTGATTTCAATCAGGGCACATGCCTGGGTTGCAGGCCAGGTCCCTTGGAGGGGGTGTGCAAAAGGCAACCATACATGATGTTTCCCTCTCTCTCTCTCTCTCTCTCCCTACCTTCCCCTCTGTCTAAAAATAAATAAATAAAACCTTAAAAACATGACAGAATCTTAAAAGTAGTAAGAGAAAAAGAGAGAGTTACCTACAAAGGAGTTCCCATAAGACTGTCAGCTGATTTCTTAAAAGAAAGCGTATAGGCAGGAAGGGGCTGGAGAGAAGTATTCAAAGTCATGAAAAGCAAGGACTTATAGCCAAGATTACTCTATCCAGCAAAGCTATCATTTAGAATGGAAAGGCAGATAAAGCGCTTCCCAGATAAGGTCAAGTTAAAGGAGCTCATCATCACCAAGCCCTTATTGTAATGAAATATAAAAGAGACTTATCTAAGAAAAAGAAGATGATAAAAAATGTCGACAGTAAAATGACCACAAACTCAACACTATCAACAACTGAACCTAAGAAAAAACCAACACACACATACACAAAAACAACCAACTAAGCAAACAACTAGAATAGGAACAGAATCACAGAAATGGAGATTGCTTGGAGGGTTATCAGCAAGGAGGGGAAGGTAGAAGAATGGGGGAAAAGGTACAAGAAATAACAAGCATAAATGGTAGGTACAAAATTGTCAGGGGGAGGTTAAGAATAATGTAGGAAATGGAGAAGCCAAAGAACTTATATTTATGACTCATGGACATGAACTAAGGTCGGGGAATGCTGGCGGGAAGGGGGTTGCAGGGTGGAGGCCAATAAAGAGAAGAAAAACATGGAATAACTACAAAGCATAATCTATAAAATATATTAAATAAATAAGTAAATAAATAAGAGGGGTGTTAAGAAATTCTAGGCCATCCTTTACCTTCCATGCCACAACTAATATATCTTAAACATCCTTTCAGGCATGTTTCTTTTTCTTTTTTTTTTTTTTGAGAATAAACACATTTATTATATGAAAAAAAAAACATTTGAATTTGTTGATTGTTTCTGTCATAGCTTCTGAATATGAGGTCATAATTAGAAAAGACTTCCCTATTTCAAATGTTCAAGACATTCTCCCACATTTACAATTTTGACTCCAATGCATTTATGATTTTGCTTTTTGCATTCAATCTTTTTTCCCCCACCCTACTCCATGCATTCAATCTTTAGTGCATTTGGAATGCATGCAGTATGCAGAGGGAGATATAAATCTAACTTTGTTTCCAAATGGCTACCCAGATAGCCC